CCCCACCCAAAAAAAAAAAAAAAAAAAAAAAATACTGGTAACAATCTAAATGTCAAGAGATGCTTTATTTCTAAAAATCATGAAGTATTCATAAAAGGAAATAGTATACAACTTTTTTTTTTTGAGTAGGGGTCTCACTCTGTCACCCAGACTGGAGTCACACAATCACAGCTCATTGCAGCCTCAACCTCCTGGGCTCAGGTGATCCTTTCACCTCAGCCCCCAAGTAGTACAGGCACATGCCACCACACCCAGCTAATTTTGTGATTCTTTTTTGTAGAGACCGAGTCTTGTTATGTTGCCTAAGCTGGTCTTGAATTCCTGGAGTCCAGCAATCTTCCTACCTCAGCCCCCCAAAGATGAGAATACAAGCTTAAGCCACCACACCCAGCCTAGTATGCATCTTTTAATAAGCAGAAGCTACTTTTTATATACTGGCGTAGAAAGATCACAAAGTTTTAAAATGGTACAAAACAGTAGTAGATAAATATGTACTTATTTGCCTGTATATGTCTAAATTGGTTCTGGAAAGACACACTAAAAACTCTTAACAGTGACTGCCTTCTTATAAGGGACTCTACAGTTGAATAATGTAGATGAGGGGGTGGCTTTTCACAGTTTGCCATCTTGGATTCTTTGGGTTTTTGTATCTGTATTTCCTATAAACATAAAACATAAAAAGGGGGAAAGGAAAGAAAAGGAATAAATGTGAAAGAAGATAAAAATTAGCCAAATAAAATTGCTCCCTTTCTTCCGCTTTGTTATAATTATTTTATTTTTTATTAGTATTATCATCATCATCATTATTTGAGTTGGAGTCTCACTCTGTCACCCAGGCTAAAGTGCAGTGGCACGCTTAGGGCCACTGCAGTCTCAACCTGCCGGGCTCAGGTAATCCTTCTGCCTCAGCCTTCCAAGTAGCTGAAACTACAGGTGTGTGCTACCATGCCCGGCTAATTTTTGTGTGTGTGTGTGTGTGTGGAGATGAGGTCTCACCAAGTTGCCCAAGCTGGTCTCGAACCCCTGAGCTCAGGCAATCCTCTCGTTTTGGTCTCCCACAGTGCTGGGATTATAGGCTTGAGCCACTGTGACTGGCCTATTTTGTTTTATTATTTTTATTTATTTATTTACT